ATGCTTCTCTAAAGGAAACTCATTAACTTCAATTATCAACGCAATGTGGTATTTCAAAGTTCTTCTATCGAGATTTAGAGACTGCTAAAAGCACGTAACTAAACATCTTAAACTGCCAACAGAAGAGTAAAATTGAAAAGAAAAATCATCATGCTTGAATGTAATACCAGAGCCAGTCAGGAATCCAGTCAGTAATTATTCTAAGCTGTGTAGCTGGGGAGCGGGGTTAAGATACACTGTTTCCTGTCACAACTGAATTCACATCTAATTCGAGAGCTAAGGAAAGGTTTACGCATATAACCAGACTGTGTAGTGCTACCTCTACCTGCTCCTCCAGAATTCAGGGAAAAGTCAGGCAGTGGTCTGGGAGGGCTCTTGGAAGAGACAGGCCTGAAGTCTTAAAGGAAGCATGATGTTTGTTTTGGCTGGCAGATTTTACAGGGAGCAGATAAAAAGATGGCATGTGTAGACAGGAAGGAAGGCTGCATTGCCAGCACCTCAGCCCAGACACAGATATGAAAATAATGGGAGAGACCCAAGTGTGCCCTCTATTAATTCCTGAATTGAAGCAAAGACAAAATTCATATTGATTGCTAAGATTCTTTTTTCCTAACAATTAGCTCTTTATACACTTTGATCTGGCCGAGAGAAAATAAATCTTTTGTCTAGGATGCCACAGGTATAGGCTGACCCCAAGTGAGAATAAACTATGACCTTTTTTGGCCCCTTCGAGACTTGTGATTCATGTTTCATGGGAAATATTGAGAAATATTCCATTAGAAATGAATCTGCGTTCACTGCATATTGTATGCTTCCTGTGTTTTCTTCCTTATCACCAAGGACATTCCCATAAAAACACATTTTTTTTCTTTTTTAATAGACAGGGTCTCAGGATAGAATGCAGTGGTGCAACCATAGCTCACTGCAGCCTCAAACTCCTGGGCTCAATCGATCCTCCCACCTCAGCCTTCTGAGTAGCTGGGACTACAGGAATGCACCGCCACAACTGACTGATTTTTTCTTTTTTTTTTTTTTTTTTGGTAGAAATGGGTCTCACTATGTTGCCCAGGCTAGTCTTTAACTCCTGGCCTCAAGCAATCCTTCTGCCTTGGCCTCCCAAACTGCTGGGATTATAGGTGTGAGCTTCCCCACTCAGCCCATATTCTTCTGTATTAATTTGCTTTCAACTTCCAAGCTGCCTTTTAATGAGATCACAATGAGCTTCTGAGGTCTTTCTAGTGGTTTCATAAATGTCCTATAGATAAAATTATCAGACTAATAAATTCAGTTACAAGTAAAGAGGACTGACCTCATACAATGTGACTTCAAAGTTTCCAGGAAGGCCCAGCAACCAACTCCACTCCCTACCTGAAATCCCCACAAAGCAGTCCCTAATCTGAGGGCTAGTGTTAAAATAGCAAAGTTATTAGGCTGACAGTTTCAACCATGGCATCATCAATGGGTATGACTTCAAAATTTCCAGGAAGGCCACCACCACCCATCACCTTCCCCTCAATTTAAAAAAACACCAGCCAGGTATGGTGGCTCATGCCTGTAATCCCAGCACTTTGGGAGGCCGAGGCGGCCACATCACGAAGTCAGGAGATCGAGACTACCCTGGCCAACACAGTGAAACCCTGTCTCTACTAAAAATACAAAAAATTAGCCAGGTGTGGTGGTGCACGCCTGTTGTCCCAGCTACTCAGGAGGCTTAGGCAGGAGAATCGCTTAAACCCGGGAGGCAGTGGTTGCAGTGAGCTGAGATTGTGCCACTGCACTCCAGCCTGGGCAACAGAGTGAGACTCCATCTCAGAACAAAAAATAAACAAAACAAAACAAAACCACCTCCCACCTGTTGGCCGGTGTTGAAAGAACGTAAGTAGAGTTTCGATCTCTTAAATCCCTAACAAAATACAAATATTTCTTTCAGAAATTTCCACTACAGTGTGACCATTTTCAGATTCCTTTCTATTAGGTTTTTAAATGGCAAAGAACTGCCTCCCACTGTACCTACGAGTCCTCTCCCATTGTCCTGGAGCTGGAGCCCTCCCTGGTCCCAGTCAACAACAGCTGGAGCTGGAAGCTCCACCTGGAAGCTGAGCCACCCCAAATCTGAACCCAAACCTGATTTGGGGCAGAAATAATGTAATGAGTTCTAAACCAATATTCCCTGCATCACACTGTCTGCTAGTCACTGCTCAATCAGTATATCTCACTTTGTTAACAAAGTGCTCGCCCCAGCTTATTCCCAAGACTCAGTCTCCACCATCCACTTTTGTTCTGCAAACCATCTGTCTCATTCTGGGTATCTAAGTACTCATCCTAGTATCCAGCTCAGAATCCTGTTACTCCAGGAACAGGAAGTTAACCTTGCTGTTATCAAGAGAATGGAGTCCTCCCTGACATAAAGGCACAGAACAAGGAACTCAGGGCGTCAGACATACCAGGGAAGAAAACTCAACTCTGCCTCTTTCTTGCTATGTGACTTTTTGACAGGCCTCAGCTTCCTTGTGTATAACTACACACTCACTAAAGGACAGAATGCATAGCACAGCCTGAGCTGAATAAATGTCAGCAATGGTAGAGATGATGTTCATCACTGGGAGTGTGAGGATGACACAGCAACTTGTGTTGGAATGTACAAATATACTGCCTATTGCCACATTTTATGTTGCTATATTCTACCCAACTGGAGTGAAACATTCACAAACTCATACTGGAACTCACATAAAGGCTTTCTTATTTTTTGCCTGAGTGACTGCCTTTTATACACATTAGTGGCGGTCGATGAGTCTGAACTTGGGGTTTAGCCTGCTAAGCTGACTTTCCTTCCAGTTTCTGCAGTTCATCCTATTGCCCCAGTGCTTCCGAAACCCTAGCAAAGCACCTGGATCCAGGTCCTAGTCCTCATTCCATCCTGTGCCATTTCAATTAATTGGGCCAGGTACTACCACTCCCCAAAATGAAGATAACCGTAGTATCTGAGACTTCAGAAGAGAACAAAGTATAGGAAGCCTGGAGGGAGCCAAAGATAAATGGCTCCACAATTCTGTTTTGGTCAAAGGCATTTTTGAAATCACTGGAAGGAGTGTTAGTGTCACTTATCTCCAAGTATCATCATGAATAAATACAAAGCTCCCATTGTGAAGACAGCAATATACTTGCAACATTTCCTGCGAAGTGCACCAGTTATAACATGGATTTAAAAAAAGAAAAAAGTGGGGGAACGGCTAACTCAGTGAAGTTACACATACATATACACACACAAAACATATACACACACTACATACACACGCACACACTCCTTAGACACCAAAAAGTAAACTCAAGTGGAATGAAAGAGATTTTATGCATGTTCATCACTAAGTGATTTGCTTTTATAGATTCTATTACACATACTTAGTTGTAGAGGGACATAATCTACCAGCCAATTAATGGGGCTCCAATGTTACCATAACCAGAGGCTTAATTGCTTTCTTACTGAACTGAAAACCTCAGCTTCATCCCATATTGGTGACTTTCATCTAGTTTTTCTAGTGTGATTTTTTTTTTTTTTTAAGATACAGGGTTGTAGGATTCTGAGGTTTTAATTGTTCACAATATCCATTTATTATAATACTATAAATAGGTGAAAGACCCTGTAGTCCATACTATTTTAAAATACTTCTTCTCTTCCTTGACCTGAAGTTTCCCCCATATTGTTCATCGACTAAGACTAGGTTTTGATTTTAAATGATTTAGAATTCCAAAGATCAATTTCTGGGACACAACAGAGAAATGCAGAGTAGAAATCATTAATAAAAATGATTAAATAATCTAATATTAACTTCAATTAAAACTCATTAGCCATGAATCTTTAAAAATATACTCATTTCTCAAGAAATATTTTCTAAGTTTTTGTTCTTATAGATACAAAAATAAAGTACAAAGCAACATGCTCTACTACTATGCAAGGCAAAAAAAAAAACCTGTTTCTGTATAGCTCATTATGGGAAACTGAAACTAAAGAGCATTCCCCCCAGTTTGTTTGTATATTGGTAGGCAAGTTCAAGTATTAATAATAAAGCCTCTGATTAGATTCCAGTTCAATTAATAACCTAATACTGATCTCAATTGCATGCCAATTTACCATTTACCCCATAATCCCAATCACTGCCAAAAAGAGCTATCATAAACAGTGCCTTTTAACACTGCAGTGTTTACCAGCTAATATTAGATCTAGGTTGATCTTCCAACACAGAACTCCATATGGATCAAAGTACCTACGTCATTTATTTCCAAGTGAATATACAGAAGAGGCATTAGTATACAAACTAGAAGTGTCCTAGGAGCTATAATAAAAGAACCACACCCAGAAGCCTTACCTACACCTGGAACTTTAGGTGACAAGATTCTGAAGTCTGAGCTAATCCTGTAATGGGATAAGACTTTTAGAGATCTTGGGAGGGGGAAGTTTGCATTTGGAAGGAACATGAATTATCGGGGGCCAAAGAGTAGACTGTGTTGGGCAGCCTCCAAGATGGTCCCCAATGACCTGCCTCTTGGTATTCACACCCTTTCCTAATTTCTTCTCGAGTCTGGGCTGGACCTACTAGCTCCCTCTTGCCCTCTAGTTATTGGCTCTGAAGCCAGATGCCATAACATAAGCCCCCTCCGCTTCTCCATGGAAAGGCCCACTAACAAGTAACTGCAGAAAACTTCCTACCAATAGCCCCCTGTGAGTTAATACTTGTTGTTATAAGCCACCAAAGTTTGGAGTAATTTGTTACTCAGCAATAACTAACCAATAGATACCCAGTACAGATTTTACCACTACAAATATCCTTTGGATAACATCATAATACATATTTGAGACCATGTGACAGAAAAAAAAAAGAAAATGAATATCCAAGATATACTTTACATCTAGAAAATTGCATGCAGACACACATAGAAAAACATTACGTCCTTCAAATAAAGAAAAAATCTTTGATTCGATTATTTACCAAAAATGTCCTTACCTTGAATGCACTGAAGTGTTCCATCCTCCGCTCTGATTGTGAAAGTCTCACCTGGATTAACTTGAACGAGAATAACCTGCCAAAACAACACATTAATTTCAGTTTAATACTGGAACCTCTGGGATTTGTCAAGTGTTATTACCTACATTTATACACTAGACAGGAAGTATGTGGCATAAAATGTTTTATAAACACAAAACTTGGAATATAAGTCTTAATTGGAGGTATGGGGATAGAAGGAGTACATGCATTTGAATTTAGCTAAGTGAATTCTCCTGTGTTGCTTATGATGTTATCTAACTTTAAAAACTCCATTTGAAGAAAATTTTTCTTTGAAAAGCACAATTCCTTTTTCTCTTTCACAAATTTAGAAACTACAATTAAAGAAGAAAAAAGACCAGAAACCATACTTAGAGAAGAAAGCTGCATCTAGCAATGAGGTTTTGACCTAACAGTGTTGCATACTGTTCCCAAGTGTCTATTACTGATCTGGGTTATACGATTCCATTGTGTGACAACAAAAAAATATTTACAAGAAAAAATTTTGTAAAAAGAATATCTGTGTATAGGATCTTAAGACAATAATGAACAGTATTCAATAAATATTATAAATAGGCCCCACCAAATACCCAAATGTTTAAAGTCAATGTTTTACTTATATGAACATAAATATTTAATATTAGACAACTTCCAAGACTAGACCATGAGTGGTAATAGCAAAGTACATTCTCTCAACAGCCTTATAGTTTTATTAATAGTTTTAATCAAAGGATAATCAAAGGAAAAAAAATCACTAATTGATATCTAAATACAAGTTAAAAGACATAATACAAACTTAAAAAACTATAGTTAGGCTGGGCACGGTGGCTCACACCTCTAATCCCAGCACTTTGGGAGGCCGAGGCAGATGGATCACTTGAGGTCAGGAGTTCAAGACCAGCCTGGGTGAAACCTCCTTTCTACTAAAAATACAAAAATTAGCCAGGCATGGTGGTGGGCACCTGTAATCCCAGCTACTTGAGAGGCTGAGGCAGGAAAATGGCTTGGAGGTGGAGGTTGTGGCATGCCACTGCACTCCAGCCTCGGTGACAGAGCAAGACTCCATCTCAAAAACAACCACCACCACAAAAAGTATAGTTAAAAACCACCATGTACAAGGCTAACACTTTTTAAAAATCACCATAGAATTTCTAGAAATTGACAGGATGTCAGTGTCACATTCATCCTACAGTTACTGGAACAAGCCCTGTTCTTCCCTGGCTCGAAACTGTCAGGTATACTGTTCCGTCTGTCTGGAATACTCTTCCTGTACTCCCTCATCTTAGCTTGCCACCTACCTTCCTCCATCCTCAACCAACGTCTATTCATCCTTCTCAGCTTGTGATATAGTGTTTAACTCTTAGGACAGGTCAGGTCCCCGGCTATGTGTTCTAAATCAAACAAAAAACCTGCTCTACTACTTCTTCCTAGAATTTACAACTGCAATTAATTAACTAAGCAATTATGTTAGTGTCTGTCTTTCCTTCTTCAATCTAGGCATGATAAGGATAACATCCAGCTATCTAGCCCCACGCCTGGCATAGAATAAGTTATGTGCTCAATAATTACTTTCACTGGATGAATGAAAGTCATAAAACATTTTAAAAAAACTATTGCAAATAATTATCTTAGCTTAGAAATTAAGTTTTCATAAGACGCAATTTAAAAGTCAACTTTATTTACTGTATACACCATAATTTGTTTTGTAAAACTATTGAGATCAAAGCCATTTCATCTTTAAAAACTCCATCTTTAATATCCATGTATTTTGCCTCTTCTAATAATTCATCCAGATGACACTGCAGGAATACTAAAATTTTTTAAATCAAAAAAACCATTACCTGGAAAAAAAATAGGATCATTCAGGGAAACTCAGACTAAGCTTCACCCCTGGTGCTCTTGAATTATGACAGTTATTTCAAGGCAATTTATTTTTCCTGTATAACAATTGTAGATAATCTTTGAGTTTTCAGTATTTAAATTACCACCAATGTAAGTACATTGTACTGTTTCAAAAACTCAAAAGGAAATTCTTTCAAGATCTCTAGAATGATTAAAATATTTGTTTTCTTGAAAAGGAGCTTTTAAAATAATTTCTTTAACATGAAAATCATTTTTACATAAATATACAATATAAAAACCACAATGGAAGAAAAGAACACTTCAATACAGACGATTATCCAGGTCTTCTTAAAGGTCCTTAGACCAATTCTAGCATCACTGTAATAAAGCAGAAACCATTTGCTTTGTGTTTAAAGCTCTAGGGATAGAACTGTGATATATGCCCATGGAATTAATTAGTTGGGGGAGCGGGGAACCAATGGATGCCAAGACTCTATGTCCTAGATTTTCTCTGACAATCCCAAATTCATATACTCTCTTCTACCACGCTCATAATTGTCAGACAATGTGTCCCGAATACCGGTTCAGAAAACACAATTCACCAATATTACAGAAAGTCCCAGGCAAGAAAACGGATTTCTGAATTGGGACATGTCCAGACTGTCGTCACGTTATCTGCTTATCATATTGCATAAAAATTGTCTGTAACAGTTCCTCAGTGGTCACTGACACCAGGCCAAACTTCAAAGAACGACCCAGAGGCATCCAGCCTCTAAGGTCCACTTATGTCTTCCCCCACTGCTTACTGAGTTCAATTCCTGACCCCCATCCCACTTCTTCAGCGAGAAAGATGATAGGTAACGGGCTTTTAAGCATCCGACGAAAATACCACCCTTCAAATGTTTAGTTCATGTAATTTTCATTGCTGCTGAGTAGCCATGGCAACCAGATTATAATCTACCAAGTTACCTCAGAAACCAGGCAAGTCTCCTGTGTCCCAATATCAATTTTTCTCAGTAGAGGAGAAGTCATTATTTAAACAAACTGTATTCATCTTGGCACTGAGGTATTTTAAAAGAAAGCATTTTATTATACTGAGGGAGGCTGACCACCTAGCTGTTTTCATTGTCAATAAAGCAGAGATAAAAATAAGTTTGACACACACCAGCCCAATGACCGGTCCTGACAGCAGACATGAATGAGCTGGCGGCAGGTCTTGCATCACGCAGCCCCCGAGGAGCATGAGTCACAACCTGGCCAACTCCCGGCACTTAACCTTTCCTCTCATACAAGTTGGGCAATGTTTCTCTCTCTCCCTCCCTCCTTCCCTCTCCCCAGCCACAAAGCAGAAATATAATAACTGCTACAAGTCCTCCTTAATATAAAATGCGAAACAGAACATTGCTGTCCAAACCGCATCATTTTTCGTCTACTCACTAAGCATTTCCTACTTTTCCAAAGTCAGCATTAAACTGATTCATATTGCACCACATCTTCACAGGAAGAAAAAAAAGACAAAGAATTTAACTACTGATACTTTTTTCTCCAGAGATGTTAAGAAGAACCATGCTAATCAAATCATGAGAGCATCCTCTAAGCTACTATTGCTTCATCAGATCTGTTTCAAAACCGTTAGTGCTACAAGAACCATGAAGCTGGAAATAAACAGAAGGCAGTTTATCAAAGTTTAATAAAAAATAAGTGACCACTCTTCCAAAGTCCACAGAAACAATAAAACAAGAGTTACAATTAATACAATTGAGCAAATACAGCATCATGGGAATTCTTTGTCTAACAGGGGAACTGAAAGAAGGGGTACTATCTTTCCTTTACAGGTATAAATCTAAAACTAACTCTGTTTCTTACTCATTAAAAGAGGGAAAGGAAGGCTACTTTTGCAGTTTAAACTTTGGGTGGCTGATTAACCAGGTGTCAATAGTATCTAAGACTACTTCTGGAGGCAAATGTCTAATTTATGCCTCAAATAAAAAAATCACCAGTCACTCAAATAAGCAATCAGGGTAAAGTATCAGTCCATCAAAAAAGCGTCTGGCCACGTACAGCAGCTCATGCCTATAATTCCAGTGCTTTGGGAGGCTGAGATGGGGAGAATCGCTTGAGACCAGGAGTTCCAGAACAGCCCAGGCAACATAGTAAGACTCCATACCTACAAAAATAATTGTAAAAATTAGCCGGACATGGTGGTGCATTCCTGTAGTTCTAGCAGCTCAGGAGGTTGAGGCAGGAAGATCATGTGAGCCTAGGAAGTCAAGGCTGTAGCAAACCGTGACGGTGCCAACTGCACTCCAGCCCGGGAAACAGAGCAAGACTGTCTCCCAAAAAAAGCGTCTCCTGGGAGAATGGTACCAACTGACCAAAGGCAAAATATTACACTTGCAGCATTTAAATCCAATCCTCAGACAATCAAGATATAAACCATGCAGAAAGGAGATCCCATTTCACTTCCAGAGTTTTTTCCACTGGCCACACTTTGTGAAGCTTGTTTTCATGTATAAATGAACACTTCCTCCTTGGAGCCCACATTTATGATCATCCAACAGGTATCTTTAAGGGGGAAAATGATACAATCTAAAAGCTGCAGAAGAGTTCCACTCAACTAAGGATACTATCCAGGAATACCTAATAACTTTAAAAGTGACCTTTGACCACATGAGAAGAGTACTACCGTGTATTCCTCATGCCACTATTTTCTGGTCACATATACTCCCACTCCCCACTCCTCAGCCCCACCCCCAAGATTCCCAGTCTCCAAGCTCGTCCCAGGCCCCCACACCCAAACTGTCTATTCACACACACCTTTGAGACCCCAGTCTGTGTGCAACAGACCACAGCTGGCCTCAGGCAAAACTGAAAGTAAGCAGTATTTGTTTTTTGAGTCCCCTCTTTTCTCCAAATCAGGAAAAGGGAAGTGATGGGGTGCGAATGCCCAATATTGATCTTTGTGGTAATAACACATGCAAAGAAAATGTCCTAGGATTAAAAACATAAGCAAGTAAACTAGAAAGATCCTGGTAAGAAGATGTGAATGTATCCATTGCCTCATTTTGCTCACTGCCCTACCTGAAGCCTGAATCCAAAGCTGATTGAAAAATAATATACAATAACAGGAAGCCCCCAAGCGGACCTAAGCAAACACTGGGAACTCAAGGTCCAAGGGCACACATTGTAGGTGAA